ACTCCGGCGGCTGCTGGCAGCGCGTTCAAGCGGGAGCGAGAGCAACCACAGTCTCTTCTCGCGTCATCTCGCGGCGAGGAAAACAACCATTCGTAGCTGATATGGAACCAGCGGGAAGATTTAGACCCCCTCCTCCTTCAAGGCGATTACGCGAGAGCCGGTAATCGCCTTGAAGCGGGAGGGGTTGTAATCTAGCCGTTCTATATCAGCAACGATTGGCTGTTTTCCTCGCCGCGAGATGACGCGAGAAGAGACGGTGGTTGCTCTCGCTCCCGCTTGAACGCGCTGCCAGCAGCCGCCGGAGTGCGCAGGACACGTGTCGCCGTGTTCCCTTTCATAAAAAGTGACACTGTACACCTGTAAAGCACGTAGTATGAAATTATTCGCTGAGCTGTTTAATCCCTGCGCACTAATACGTAAAGACACCTCAAGAGTGTCTTGCGCGCTCGTTTAGTTCAGTAGAATTTTCATATTTGCAGAGCGCACAACCGCACAGAGAAGAAGGCACGCAAGACAAAGACAGCGCTTACTTGCAACTGAAATTTATTGAAACATGCAGGCCTTTTATATCCTCTGGAGATACACACACACACGAAATAAAATATACAAGGAACATGCTCTGACAGTACATAATTGACACTGATGTTTCTTGTATGTATATGTAGTGGTTTACCGGCATGCATCTTTTTTTTTTAAACTTAGACACATGCCTACCCTATGACAACGGCACGGTCCTAACATTGATGTATAGTATGAAAAAGAAACATTCTAAACCGAGAAGTGTGATTTCATGAAGCATGATGACGCAATGCTGTTTGTAAGGCGCTGAGCATTGACATCGTTTACATGGTTAATATGTTCGTGATAATAAATGCAAAGTCTATAGGTTAAAACTATGTGAAGCATAAAAGAACCACAACACTTTTCCGTCGTCGAGTGAGAATTGGTTGGAAGAACTGCTGAAAAAAGGAGAATTCCCATTTTACTCCGCAAGTAAAGCCCTCTACTTGTGCAATATTCAGCAACAAAAATATTAGTTGAAATTTAAACATTATGAGAGATACATGATATGCGTCAGCATGTGCATGCTACCATAAATAATCAGCATACGTTTTAGCTGATTTTATGTCCAATGGAGGACGTAGACCTCTCTCAGCGATCTCTAACTTACTCTATCTTGTGCGAACTGATTGTCTAAATTCCTTAATTCTCCTGATCTCCAATTTATTACCCTTTCTTGTGCGATCTACGAACTTCTTCATTTCACTCCATCTAACCCTCTGCCATCCTAGGCTACGCTTCCCTGAACGTAAACTGAAAGTAAACCACAGCATCGGTTACCCCTGTTTGCTCTCTGTCCCATTCAGAATTCCTGTCCAATCTGTTTCAATACTATTTTTTTCCTATGTATGCTACCCCTTGTGTAATGCATCAACAGGGGTCTTTATGGGTCAATAAGTGATGATGACTTGTTAATTTTTTATGGTTACGCCGATCATTTTCTAGGCTTATATAAATCCTAATGGTAGGGCCACTGTGGTAGCTCAGAGATTAGAGCATCGAACGCGTTATTCGAATAAATCTTGATGGTGCGTATAACAGCAGCTGTGTAATTAAACAGACAAAAAAAGAAAACAAAGTTTTTGCCATTAGTAAATTACTCTTTCACAATTACAACATCACCGCGCTCACCGTAGCGATGACGTATGGTAAGTGAGAAAACGCAACTAAAGAAAATGCTGGTGGCGACGCCACCTTAAATTCCTGCACCAAACGTCATGACGTCATAAATGTTCACGGTGTTCACTAAGGCCTACGTAGCTCCTAATCTGTAAAAATTAAGCACATTGTCTGATGATGGAGCCAGATACCCATTTTCGGGAAATATTGTCGAGCCAATGTCGACAAAATACGACGAATAATGTAATAGTATGAAAAGCTGGGCGAGTTTATTTTAGGACATCATTGGAAACATATCGCCACGCACAGAATAGACGAAAAACGAAAGGCGAGAAGACAAGTGGGCGTGAACTCACAACTCAGTGTATTAAAGGATAGAAGCGCTCGAAATATATGTTTTAGGCCAGCTCAAGAGCACATGTGCGTAAAAAAGTATCAAACAAACAAGCAAGACAAAAATTAGGGGTTCTAAAGCTTGGCTTTAAGGAGTGGAACGCGATATATCGACATTATGTTCCTAGTCCGTATTTCAAACACTCAATGCACGAAACCTTTTCGAATTTGCTATCAACGCACTACGTGGTTTTAAGGAAATAAGTGCATCAGCGTGTGTGCCTGTTGTAGGGGGGGGGGGGGGGCTTTCAAACACGAAGCCATTATGATATTCACATATTATGACGCCCGTTGGCCACGAAAGCTTGTACCACCCATTATTACTGCAATAGTTCATGTTGCTTTTTGAAGCATGTGTACAGGACACGTGTGTTCGTCAAGCATGAAAGGTACTTTCACTGCATTTGCAAGAAGAGGAAGTTCTTTTCATGCTTTTTCACAAGTGAATGTGTGGCCATGCGGCAGAACATTCGATTTCCACGCAAACAACCTAGGTTCGATCCCCACTCGGTCCCCACTCAGCTTCAGGAGTTTCTAGCATTTACTTATTTTATATGCATTGTTCTCGATTTTTCCGGCACGCATAAGATGATGATTTTTCGCGCACAACCAATGACTCCGACACCGTAATTTCTGCAAAACGAGTTTTTAACACTATCGCGTGTAAAGAAAAACAAGAAAACACAGCATTGCAGTAATTTTTACATAAGTGGTATGTACAACGTATAATGGGGTCTTTTTTTGGGCATTGCTTTTGTTTTGATCATTTGTTCTCATTATTTGTTTGATACTTTTTAGCACATGTACTCTCGAGCCGCCCTGGATATATTTTGTGTACTATTCCTTCATTAATTTGAGTTGTGAGTTCGCTACCATTTGTCTTTTCGCCCTTCGTTTTTTGTATATTGTGTGCACGCCGATATGTTTCCAATAATGCATACAAACTCGAACACTTGACGATACGCACGCTGATTTCGACGCGAAATGAAAAATTCTACTTTGACCTTGACTTTCTCCTATAAGAAGGAACTTATGATAGAAAGATTAGCGACATTGAAGTTCTCACAGAATACCTTATCAATCTAAACCAATTGATTGTTTCACTTTACTACCGTTTAAACAAAGATAAAACAAAAATAAAAATATCGGTATTAATACCCAAGTGGGATATTACGCATAGGGATGACAAACTTTATGTGCTATCAAAAATCATTTGGAAACATAGGTTTTTTTTTTGTGTCTGTATCTACTATTTTATGAATTCTTCAACAAGTAATCATTAGGCAGTATCATGACATCACATGAATTAATCTGCAGATTTAAAGGTACGAAAAAATTGGTCAGGTGCAGCGAGAAAATTATTATCTCCGAGGATTGATCTCTGGGGCGTCTAAGTGCTTATCTCACTTGTAGTGAAAGAAAAATCACAGGATATCAACAGAGTGAATCACGATGAGTGGGGCTAAGCGTACGTCCGTCCATCCATCTGTCCCTGCTTCCGTGCGTTCGTCCGTTCATGCGTTAATCCATGCGTTTAACCAAGAATGATCCGCTTAGCTCTCTCTACGTACGGCGACGATCGAGGAAAATGAGAGATAAGCCCCGAGCAGCCCGCGCAGCAGCCAATCGTAGAGCAGCTGTATCTCCAACGTCCTCTTGTGTACATTCACCCAACCGTCATATTGCATGTATGTATGGATGGATGGATGGATGGATGGATGGATGGATGGATGGATGGATATGGCTGTACCCTTTAAATCGGGCGGTGGCTAGTGCCACCAAGCCGTAATACTTAATGAACCCAAAACTATATTTATTTTGTTCCCCTTAAAAAGTGAGTTTGAGGATTCGTAGTTTGCAGTGAAGAGTTTAATTTTCACTCGTGCCTTGACTTTAGCCACCAATCAGATAACCTCCTTCTAGTTAAGTCTACTTGCTTAAAGTCTATTTTGCCCTCCCGGTCCCTACACCCCAGTGCTTTGAAAAACTCTGCGCCATCATCCTGAACTATAGGGTGAAGCCCTTTACAGAACATTATCAAGTGTTCGGCAGTTTCTTCTTCCTCTCCACACGCACTGCATACTGTGTCTACCCCTTCGTATTTGGCCCGTATTTCTATGGGACAGCGCCATCTAGGAAGCTAGACGAGAAATGGTGATGACGACATAAAATGCGTAGAGCGCCATCTAGTTAGTATATCGTCACCCAACTTCAATTTGCATGCGTCTCTATGGAACAGCTCCTTCTATTGAATGATAAGGGAGACGCTACTGGGGTGGTACGCCGGATTGAGCGACGTGGATTGACGACCGACCAGGTGATACAATAAGGAGCTTCGCCCTTAAAGTTCAGCTGAATTAATTGTACTAGAGACAGTACATATCACTAACTTGCGAATAAATAAAAGTTGTGGCTACGATGCTACAGATATAAAGTCGTATCGCGTTTTCTATACGTTCAGGGCAGTTGTTGGTGATAACTATGATAGTTGTCATGTACTACAATGCGAAGTTAATTATTTACCATGTTAGAAATATGGCGAAGTGAGTTTGATATTGAGACTAAATGATGATTTATCAAACTAAAACTTATGTTTGTTCAGTGGCAAATACATTTTGTAATATTGTTCATTGTCTAAGCTGCGCATTTAAAGGTTGTATCATATAGATCTAGTAACTGTTGCCCGACAAACACTTTCTGCTTATTTTTTTGCAATACGTGCAGATTTAACAAGGTAAAAACAAGAATAACCCAAACATTCCAAATGTTCCCGCGTATGCCGGTCATTTTGCGAATGTTACATGTGTACGCGGCCATATTACCTCAACTGTTCACATCAATCTGCGAGATATTAGGCACGAAATTCAGTACAAGAACTGAGCTGCGGTTCACAATTGTTTGTATAAAACTGGCAAAAATGGGCTCACCGGATGGAGCTTCGTTGGCTACGAAAGATCTCTTGTCGTTCCCCGTGGCCGAAGTCGCACCGGGTGGCAGTGCGGGCCTGTTGACGGGTGGAGGGGCCAATGATCCTCCGGCGGGGCTCGCAGGGCTGGCCGATGCCGATCCACGGCCGGCAGGTCTTCGGGCCACTTCGGATGTGCATTTAGAAGCCGCTGACTCAGCCGCAGAGCCCAGGAAGTGCGGGGGCGGTGGTGGGGCCAGGAAGGAGCCCATGCCCCCGAAGGGGGGCGCTGAGGCGCCCAGGTACCTACGGACGATTAAGCGGGACCACATTAGGTTGACATGAACCTATAGAGCAAGCTCCTGATATTGCTAAGCATGTAGACAAGTCCACGAAACAGAGTTTCTGTTGATTTACCTCAAATTTGATTAGAGCTAATAGTTAGAACTGTACCATTAATGCCATACGACATCATAGTTCATCGACTGCATGTAATCACAGAGAGGCATCCTTGTTTATCTTTATTTGATGTGTTCGTGAGATATGGACATTATTTCATATTAGGGTAGTCTTGGAGCAGCCAGAAAGTGGCCCAAGTACTTAATTAAGGTTTTTGTTTTCCCTCTCGGTCTGTATGCTCAAAATATAACCTGTTTATTTTATTCTGTTACAGCAATTATAGCCTGCTTCGTTTAGCCTATATTTTGGGTCATTATGAGCGATCATGTTCCGACCGTCGTAAGGACATAGATGATTCAGAGTATCACAGGCCGCATACAAAAAAAATGAAAAGAAGCAGTGGGAAGCGTGTGGGTAGCAACATGACTATAACTCTCCAGAAAACGAAGCATGCTTACAGGGTAGGAACGATATCACAAACTGAGAAGGGCAAGGACGGACAAGTTTAAGCAGCTGGGTGCTTTGTAGAAGAGCGTGTAGCTGGGTAGAAAGATTTGTGTTTATGGTCAGTTACACTTTGTTAAAGATTAAGAAGGGTGATTTGGTGAAGTGAGCACCGGTGGGAATCTTGAAAGCTCCCGAATGAGTGGGTTTCTGCCTCACAACTAATTTTTTGAAGAGCTTGCTCGCTAATCCTATTACGCTTGAGGCATGTCTCTTGGCGCGTACACAAAGAGGCACAACTGTGCAATGTACCCACTACATGCCACCATAACTTTCATGCAGTAGGGAAGCACCTACTACGCCACTGTATTATTCGTCATTCTGCTCATAAGCAAGGTACCCACTACACACCCGCAAGGCATTATGTGCCCTTTGCGCTGCTATAAGGAGGCTCGTCGACAGGCAGACCCTGAAGTGAGAGCCCGCGAAGCGGAGGCGGCATGCAAGCGGGGGGAAGAGAATCTCTACTCGGTACCTGGATCGAAATGGCTTTCTCCAATTTTCAGCTGCCACCTCTAATTCGGGATCCCCTTGCCGATCACAAAATTCTAATCTTCACTGTAAAACGCGTCACACAGTATTGTAAACAGTAATGTAATCCTTGTATATAATTGTATCAATATGTAAATGATTACACCTTGTGTATATATAAGTGTATACGTACTATAAGCCCTATAACAACGTGTCATGTTTATATATGATGGTATATGACTTGCAAGGGGAATTCACGGGTTCCTTCAATTAGTTTCGAGCCAGCTCCGCCATCATAATTCATTTAGTGGAGATTGTGGGGTTGTTTTTCAAGGATATTCCTTTCCCGAAACATACCCACCGTAAAAAATAGCTAGGCGTCTGTATCGAACAGGCGAATATTCAACCTCAAGCTTTTACAAGAAAACCTAATTAACATAATTTCGTTGTTGCGTTCATAGTTTCATGTAGAAACATTGATACAACCCAAAGGGAAACAAGAGAAAGGAGGAGTGAGCTGTCTGGCAGCTGTCACTGAGGGGGGTGCCAATGCAGGGGGGTACATAAGAAGTTGAAAGGTAGATATGCAGGGTGTCTCAGCTAAAAAGCACCAAGCAATAAAAACTTAAAAATTAGTGCTAGGCGTCTCAAGCTAGCGCAGTATTAATCTTAGCTGTACGTAGCACGTCAGAATATTTTTTTATCCGCCAAGCACCGTAATTAACAACTATTGCTTAATGAACATTTTAAATACTGACTCTAGGGAAAAAAATTCAATACAAGACTTGTAGCTCTTAACCAAAAAAAATAACAAAATTTCAAGTTACGGTAACATAATAACGCTGGTTAATTTTTTTTCCAGGACTTTGTTTGAAGTGTACGAAATAAAAAAAAAACCGCGATTGCCGCCTAACGCGTGGCGCTTTGAGTGCCCTCTAATGTATGTTGAACAAATTAGCGAAGGGTTCTCACGCACGAAGGTCGCTTGAACAGGCTATCAGTGACTACGATGGACATTAAGCGATGGTTGGATGGTACCATTAAAAAAAGAAGAGAGGGTGAAAGAAAGAAACGACAATAAACTTCGACGAAAAAGCGGCGGCCACGTGCATTGCGGTACGAGACCGGAGGCAGCATCCAGTGCAGCGCAGACATTTTTTTTTTCCTTTTGGGCCAACGATAAACATAATGAGGGGGGGGGGGAGGGTGACATTTTGATAAAGAAGGATATAAAGACTTCAGCGGTAATTATCTCAGAAAATTTTTTTGTCATATCTGCATCGATTATGTGCGATGGCTCTACTGGATACTTGCAAGAAATACAGCACGATTGGCTGTGGGTTCAAAAGGTTATTGCTCGTACTTCGCCTCCATTTAGAAATTCATGTTTAGTACCCGTCGGTTAGAGCGCAGTGCGATTGATTGATTGATTTGTGGGGTTTAACGTCCCAAAACCACTATATGATTATGAGAGACGCCGTAGTGGAGGGCTCCGGAAATTTAGACCACCTGGGGTTCTTTAACGTGCACCCAAATCTGAGTACACGGGCCTACAACATTTCCGCCTCCATCGGAAATGCAGCCGCCGCAGCCGGGATTCGAACCCGCGCCCTGCGGGTCAGCAGCCGAGTACCTTAGCCACTAGACCACCGCGGCGGGGCAGAGCGCAGTGCGTATAAACAAACAGAACGAATAAAAAATTGTTCTGTGCTATTATAGCTAACTATTAAATAGTAGAAAAGCTAGGTGTTCGAAAGAGATCAGCGTAATTGTAAAGTCCAAAGTGCTTTTATTGTGACGTCATGGGCAGTTACACAGCGTGCTGAAACAGCCCTCCATCAGCCTCTATACGCAATCTACATCGAGTCAGCACATTTTCTGTCGCGTATCGGAGCATTCGTGGAGTAACAGAGCGGCACACATTTGCTATTTTAGACTTGAGTCTTGCGGGCGTTGTTGTCGCTTCGGTGTGGACGTGATCTTTAATATATCCCCATACGAAGAAATCTAGCGGAGTCAAATCTGGGGATCTTGCGGGCCACTCTACAGGTCCAAGACGGCTGATCCATTTCTCGGGAAATTCTCGGTCAAGCCACGTTCGAGTCCGCGCGCAGCTGTGCGGAGGAGCTCCGTCTTGCTGGAACCAGATATTCCCGAGCTGTGCTAGAGGGAGGTTGCAGGTGAAGTCACTCAGTGGGCCATTTAGTATTTCGCAGATGTAGCGTTCTGCGGCGAGTGTTCCATCAAAAATGACCGGGCCGATAATTTCGCCGTAGTAAATGCTGCACCAATCACTGAAAGCCCACTGCACCTGGTGGTGTGACTGCAACAGCCAGTGAGGATTCTAGCGCTCCAGTAATGACGATTGTGAACATTGATTTGGGAATTGCGTGAGAAGCGAGCTTCATCGGACCAGATTATGTTCTTCAGGAAGCCGGGATTCTTCCTGTATGAGTATATACAGTTGCAGAAGTCAAGACGGCTTTGCAAATTTCTATCTTCCAGCTGTTGATGCATGTGAACATAGTATAGGTGAAGTCCTCCGCTTTTGAGTACGCGCCAAACACTACTGCTCAAAGCGCCGGTGCAAGCACTTACGTCGCGCACGCTTGCGTGGGGACGGGCGCCTATATAAGCAAGAATGTCTGTTTTAAGAGACTCAGTCACACCTTTTGTACGCTGACGCTGCTTTTTGAACTTGCCTGTCTCCTTGAGCGTTTCGTAATTTCGCACCAATGTCAAACTATTTACCTGAATGTCTGGGTGCCATCTGAGAAATAATCTTGCCGCCTCTCTCCTGTTTCCGTTCGCTCACCGAGGGCGAGAACCACGTTCGCACGTTCTTCATTATTGAAACGCATCGTTGCAGACTAAGAATTTCCTTTGTAGAAGCGTGTGAAAAAAAAAAAAAAACTTTGCACCACATATTCCCATCGTGCTTGTTATATCCTTCCTTTATAAAAAATGTCAACCTCTCCCCCACCATGATGTTTATTGTTGGCCCGCGAAAAAAAAAACAGTACCAACAACAAAAAAGAAAACCGCCATGCCTGCGTGGAAGGCGCAGCAAAGTCGCATCGAAAGCTGGAAGAGCGGCCTTTCAGAGCCTTTAAAAACACTCATTGGGTAACTACTGCAAGCTCACTTGCTTTATGCCCACTAGGGCATTAATAATAATTTTTTTTGGTAGTAGACCTGAATTCACTATGCTACTTTTCGTTATTCGTCTAAGAAGCGTGGTATCCACTAAACACTTTCAAGGAATATTGTGCCAATGGTGCATGCAGTGGCTGACGGCGATGAGGGATAATGACTTAAGTAGGTATGCACCACCGTTATTAGGGCAACAAGAACAAGCTTTTGTAATGAATTGGAGCATTCGATGACCCACTCGTTACACTATTCGCATTGTGCGGTGAATGGCTGTTCTTTCGCTGCTTTAAAGCGATTGATACGTCGTATCAACGCGATTGCTTTCTTGACATCAAGCCTGCCTTAGGCAAGTTTGCCCGCAAGTCACAAGCACCGGTGTAGCTTAGTGGTAGAATACTGAGCAGGCACCCAGCGTACCTGTGTTCGAACCTCACGATGCCATTAGTGCTATGTTTTTTTTTTTTAAATTTTACTTGATGTGGTTACGGGCACCGGCGGCAGTGGCACTGCGCTTGACCCGAGTTGTGATCTCATAGCAGCTTTCGCTGTAAAACGTCTGCGCTGCACCCAATGCCATATCCGGTCTCGTATCGCAATGCACGTGGCAGCCGCTTTTTCATCGAAATTTATTGCCTTCCTTTCTTCCTTTCACCCCCCCCCCCCCTTTGCTTTATAGTACCATCCAACCATCGCCTAATATCCATCGTAGTCACGATAGCCTGTTCAAGCGACCTTCGTGCGCGAGAAGCCTTCGCTAATTCGTTCAACTTACATTAGAGGGCACTGAAAGCACCGGGCGTTAGGCGACAATCACGTTGTATTTTTTGAAATTTGCACACTTGAAACAAATTCGGAAAAAAATTAACCAGCGTTGTTATGTTACCCGAACTTAAAAATTTTGTTATTTTGGATAAGAGCTACAAGTCTTGTATTGATTTTTTTCCTCTAGAGTCAGTATTCAAAAAGGTTCATTAAGCAATGTTTGTTAATTACCGTGCTTGGCGGATCGAAAAAAATATTCTGACGTCTTACATACAGCTAAGAACAATACTGCGCCAGCTGGAGACGCGTAGCACTCATTTTAATTTTTTATTGCTTGGTGCTTTTTAGCTGAAACACCCTGTATATGCAGAAACATTTCAGTTGCCTGGCGTGTACAACAGCTTACGTCTAATAACGATACTGCTTAAACAATCATGCAACCCGCAGATCGCGGGATCGAATTCCGGCAACGGCGGCTGCATTTTCTATGGAGGCAAAAATGCAGTAGGCCTATGTGCTCAAATTTCGGTGCACGTTGAAGAACCCCAGATGGTCGAAATTACCAGAGACCTCCACTACGGCGTCTCTAATAATCATATAATGGTTTCGCGATATTAAACCCTACACATCAATTATCAATCAAACAGGAATTCATGCATGACGTGTTCCCAGTTTGTTGTCAGGTGTACGTTGTGGGTCCCATTCTTAAAATAAACACTGCATATGGGTCCCGGTGCATTGGATCACGTGTGCGATACGTGTAGTGCGGTATACTGCTTTGTCGCCTACCACGACTGCCTACGAATATCACCATTTAGCTGAACAGTTGCTGAGAATAAGGTGTTGAGGGAGGCTCACCTGTCCCTGAAGCTTGCCAGCAGAGAGGAGTCAACGGGACCCGGGGAGCCCTTGAGTGTCGGCTCCCCGGGCACCCCCGCGCAGGTTGCGTAGCGGCCCACCTGTCGGCCACTTGGTGCAGGTCCCGGCTGCGGTGTCGGCGGGTGCAGATGGTGGTGCGGGTAGCGGTAGGCGCCCGGCGGGGCCGCTGCCACTGCAGCCCACTCCTCGAGCTTCACCACTTTGTTCAAGTCGCCGAGCGGGCACGCGCTGCTCGCCTCCAGCATGCCCCCGCACGAGGCGTTCTGGCTACGTGCGCCGGCGGCTGCGGGCCGTGTCTGTGCGGCGCGCTACTCGCACACAGGTACCTGCGCCGCGCGATGCTATTGAGAAGAGCCAGACTCCTTCTATTACAAAGGTTGCCGGCTCACCGACACACATGAAGCTGATTCGGATATGGCATACTACGGATATACTCTGCGCTTGATCCTGAACAAGGTGACTCGGTATACGCATGGTCATCGCTGACGCATCGTTCGCTTGCCGCAGCAAGGCTTGTACGATGTAACGTTTAATATGCGAAGTATTTCTTAGTGAACTTCGGCGACTTTAAGCGTGTCTATCTATCTATCTATCTATCTATCTATCTATCTATCTATCTATCTATCTATCTATCTATCTATCTATCTATCTATCTATCTATCTATCTATCTATCTATCTATCTATCTATCTATCTATCTATCTATCTATCTATCTATCTATCTATCTATCTATCTATCTATCTATCTATCTATCTATCTATCTATCTATCTATCTCTCTATCTATCTATCTATCTATCTATCTATCTATCTATCTATCTATCTATCTATCTATCTATCTATCTATCTATCTATCTATCTATCTATCTATCTATCTATCTATCTATCTATCTATCTATCTATCTATCTATCTATCTATCTATCTATCTATCTATCTATCTATCCAGCCCGCCTACGACTTTTAGCTTTCCTGGCCGTTTCGATAATGGTATCGATAACAAAATTGGTATGGCATAACATGAGTGTATGACGTGCATAAGTAACTAGTCGTAACATGAAAATCATGACACGTATGTCATGAATGTCATGATTAACATTTCATGGTCTTGCTGCTCTTGCGGTGGTTTCGTTCACATGACATGTTGCAAAACAGGCAGGGTGTGACATAACTGCATGGCGAACACAAGTAATAGACCCTAACGTGAAAATCATGACATGCATGTCATGTAAGTCATGACTACACGCCATGATCATGGTGGACCCACAGTCGTTTCACTATAGCTTCGCACTTACCTAATTTGGTATTACGGGACGTGAATGGATGAAGAAGAAATATGACCTGTGCAACATGTTAATCATGAGATTCTGTCACGTGAGAACATGACTACATGCCACACTCATGATGCGCTCGCGGCCATTTCGCAAGCTTCACATGTACAAAATATGATATTACGGGGCGTGAATGGACGACGAAGGTAGATTACATGTACAAACATGATAATCATGAGATGCGTGTCATGTAAGGACATGACTACATACCACACTCATGATGTATTAGCGCTCATTTTGATACCCTCTCGTATAACAATTTTTATTATTGTTATTGTTGCTGCAACTTCTGAAGTGTGAATCTCGCTCCTTTTGCTTCAATTTGTGTGATCCGAGCCATGCTTTTGCTATAAGCCTCTCGAAGACGACTCTGTAGCTCGCTACCGTCAGGAATGCAGCTCAGAAACGGGTTCCCTCTTCACGTGTGTCGCTGCGGGTGGCGATTTTGCTGGTCTGCGCCGTCTCCTCCTCAACGCGTTGGAAAAAACCTCGTTCTTCAGCGACGAGGTATCCAAACTACGCGATGAAAACGAATGCCTGCGTTAGGACCAATTCCGGAGTGCAGAACAGCAAGCCCGCGTCATCACCTCCCTTCGGCGAGAGGTTCACTTCCTGCGTGAGCTGCTGGCTGCCATGCCAGTGAAGGTAGCCGTGGCCCTCCAAGCGCGGGAGAACGGTGACCGATCTGCGCTTTCCTAGCCGCCTCGCACTCTGGACAACTTGTCTCCAATACACTTTCTTCGTTTAATTTGCTGCCAGCTGAAGACATGTCCTAGTAACGAAGCGTGATTCCTGCGAGAGCCTTATCTGGAGCTCTTTTTCCACCTGAAGGTGATAAAAAAAAAGAAAACTGCCTCGGGGGGGGGGGGGGGGGGGGGGGACGATTACTTCGACTGTTTATGTTGCTCAACGGCTACATCGGCCTCAGTGGCCTAAGACCATTTTTGTTTCTAAGCTGAGCCCGGACGCCACTGCTACTGTTATCAAAATACATATTACTTCAATGAATTTGTCTTTCATATCTTGCCGGCGCCTTCAAAATAAGTTTCAAACCTATCCTTCTTCCTGCATGAAGGTTCACGAAAAAACACTGCGGCGCTTTATGACCCTTCTATGTGGCCTCTGTGATGCATCTTCAAGACTTCTTGTGGGGTGCTGCACGACGACATGCTTCATCCCTTTGAGCTGGTGCCAAGTGTCGAAAGTGCCGTGTAACGTGGTCAGAATGCTCGTGGTCTACATACCAAGACAAACGAGTTTTTCGGTAATGTTCTTTCGTCTTCTTTTTCTATTATTTCTATTTCTGAAACCTGGCTGGGTCAGGAAATTCTCTGATATGAGGTTTTACCCCACTTTCGCCACCTTCTGCATCGACCAAGATTTCAGTGCAACCAAAGAGAAAGGCGGTGGCGTGGTGATTTGCTTTGACAGTTCACTGAAATTTGTTAGACGGAAAAACCTGGAATATTTTTCGGAAAATCTGTCTGGTTCGCCTGGAGCGCCGAGAAAAGTTGTTGAATGGACGTTTTTATTTAACACACAGTATTTCCCCCGCTTTGCTTGAAGATGTTATGTCTTCTATTGAACGTGTGATTTCGTCCCATGGTGAGCACAAAATTATTGTTCTTGGTGACTTCGATATTCCTGGAATTGACTAGAGCGCGCTTACCTTTTCTCATTATAATCACTTCATCAAGAAAAAGTGCAGTCTGCTCTTGGATTTTCTGGCGTTTAATTCACTACTGCAACATAGCACAGTCGTCAATTGCAAAGAGAACGTCTTGGACCTCGGACCGTCAAACGATCAAACCGTTGAAGTTTCACGCCCCGACATCTATCTTGCTCGTCCTGACAAATTCCACCCACCACTTAATGTAAGATTATCTGTATGTGTCGAAACTACGAGCTACTGCAGTCATTTTAACCAATCTCCAAGATTTGTTTTAAAGAGAGGGGACTACACGGGCTTTTATCATTACTTGTCAGCCGTTGATTGGTCCCAAGTTACTGAAAGTTGATGAACAAGTTGAGCAGTTCATGGAGCTTGTATCAAGCAGCCTGCATCAGTTTATGCCACAATATACACCTAAACATCGTAAATATCTGTCAGTTCAATATTTATCGTAAATATCCACACTGGTTTTTCCATTAAGTTATAAGTGCACTGAAGCATAAACATCGCCCGTACAAGAAGGCTATAGGTGTTCTTCAGCAAGTGGAAGGTAGAGTTAAACTTTTTCCGAGCTCTCTCTAAACGCCTATACAAACGGCACTGCAGTTCATATAATGCATTATTAGAAAAAAGCTTTCTGACAGGCCAGCTAAGTATTGGAAGTATGTACGCAAAAGGTCTAGTAAAAGTGGGGAGCCCTTCAGGCTACTGGGCTCGAATAATGTGAAAGTGCATGCCGTCGCTGACTGTTTCGCCAAGAATTTTTCATCCGTTTATAAGGTATCAGACTCTAGAATCCAGATAGTACAACAGCCCAAGGCAGTTAGCATATCTTGTGCTCTATCGCTGGACGAAAAGCTCATATGCTCATCCATTAAGTACTTAAAACCGTCCTTATCGTGTGGCCAAGATGGCATCCCTTCCATTATATACTAAAGTTTTACGATGGTATATTTGCCCCAGTACTAACTACAATATTTAACAACTGTCTGAACTCTTCCACATTTCAAAGCATGTGGAAAACTTCACATGTTATTCCATTATTTAAGTCAGGCTTAAAAAATCGATGTCTCTAATTATCGCCCCATTGCTCTACTCTGTGCCATATCGAAGATCTTTGAGGTGGTTCTTCACAACAAATTGTTTATTAGCGTGAATAATTCATCGATTCCTAATCAACACGGGTTTCTCCCTATCCGCGGAACTACCACACATCTTCCTAGTTTCATGACGCAAATCTCTTCTGCCATTTCTCGGAGAGGACAAGTTGATGTAGTCTACTGTGACCTGAGCAAGGCTTTTGACGTAGTCAGCCACTCACTGTTTTTGTTTAAACTTGCAAATTTTGATGTTTACTCGTCTGTTGTGAATCTCCTGCACAGCAGCTATCTGCTTAATAGATTATGTTAAGATTCCGCGGAAAGTGGCAAATTGTCTTCCTTGTGCAAAGCGACTAGTGGATCGAGTCTCTCAAGGGTAGGTATTAGGCCCATTATTATTTTTAAATTACGCTAACGATGTGTTTTTTACAATTCCTTATTCTTCTTTTCTCTTGTATGCTGATCACATTAAGATATTTATGAAAATTCAGTGAGTCAACGATTGTCGCTTGCTGCCGTCAGATTTCTGTTCTTTCTCCGAATGGTGTGATATGAATAACTTTTGTCTGAATACCTCAAAGACCAAATTCATGAGTATATCTGCCAAAACATCCATCGTGTCATTTCCATACTTTGCCAATACCCTGTCCTTAAGTAAGGTATATTGAATTGAGATATCTTAGTGTTTTTTTTTTGATAGCATGCTAAAATTTTCTGTCACACTAATCATGCTGCCATGCGGGGTCTTCGTTCTCTCGGATGTGTTTGTGGAATCTCTCGAGAATTCATTTTTCCTATAGCCTTCCACAAATTGTACACCGCAATATGTTTTCCTCAACTTAGATATGCATCTGTTATTTCAAATGGAAACGCTAAATGTGGCAGTGACGCCAATGAGGGAGTCCAAAAAAGCGTTCAGAAGCATTTGCAATCATTGTTTTACTTGAAATTACTCTAGATCTCGTTCCATCACTGTCAGATTATTATCATCGCCATCACATCACTGCCTAAAAATCACGCTGACCTATTATTTCTTGACAAACTACTTCACGGATTGATATCCTGCCCTTTACATCTTAGTTGTGTAAACCAGAGAGAATCGACCATTTTATGCACGCGCAAACTTTTTTCAACACTGTACTGTTA